TGGGAGAAGTCCCAGACGGAGCAGAGAAGGGAAACTAGAATTGAGCGGAGCTGCGTAGGAAGGCAAGGGCCAGGCTAAAGCAGAAGTGTTCAGGGGTTATTTGTTGAGTTAGTGCAGAAACTTGTAACATATTCTGACAGAAACACCCAGAATGAGTGACTGGAAGCTGTAAATGTGTCATTTTTAATCAGGTCACAAGTCGCCTCTCGGCTGTGGACACTCTGCCTGAGGAACGCCTGCTGCGCTACGGAGCCCGGTTCCTGCAGGAGGATTATTCAGCCTGGGCCGAGCAGCAGGGCGGATACGTACGTAACATCTCCTTTTTTTCCCTTCTGGATAGGATTTGTTCAAAATAAAACTTGGTAAGCTAACTTTGAATGTTTTGTTTCTGCTCCTGCAGGAAGCAGCTTTTCATGACGAGGTGGACTGATCAGGATGAGCTTTTCAGACACACAGCGCCCTCTACAGGTCGGCTCTGAAACCTGCAAGAAGTAATTCCCACAGTTGGGAAAGAAAAAAAACCATCTAACTCGGGACATTATTTCACTGCTATAACTTTACTTCCACCTAAAACTTGATGAACTCTTATTCTGCAGGTATTTATTCAACTTTCAGGGACCTGGAACCAAAGACAACAAAGGAAAAAAATACATGTTTAAGTAATTAAGTTGTTTTATAAACAAAGAGATGTATCTTCAAATTTTGTTTTAATTAAATATTTTTAAAGTGTTTCTTTTGTTGTTAGGCATTAAAATGTCTTTTTAAGCACTTGCACTTTGACCATTTTAATTAATTTATTGTGTTGATTTTGTTTAAAAAAAAGTACATTTAAATGTGCCATATTTAGAGAATAAAAAATTTTGGCATAATGTCTGTGAGTCTAATTTCATATTATTATGTTATTTTATATTGTAAAGTACACATTAAGATAATTTGTAATGAGTTTATTAAATGTTTGGCCCTGTGATGATGATGGCTTCAGCTGCCCAGCAGTCTGAACAAACAGGTAAAGGAAAATGAGTGAAAAGATGGAAAATTGTTGATAATAACAAGGAAGCAGCACTTAGAGAGCAAACACTAATGCTAAAACCCTAGGGTCAGTTATGCAGGTGGTCCAGATCAACATCAAAATGTATATATTTTTTGAGACAACACTTCCTGAAATTCTGTTTAACTTTTTGAGTAATTTTGTGCACAGACAAACCAACATTATGGAAATGACCTTTTTGGTGGAGATTATTATTGAAATAAATTAATTGTTAAATTTGTCTTGCTAAAATATGTCATCTGCAGAATTTTTAATAATGTTTAGGCCTACATAAACTTGAATAATTGAGAATCATTCATGCAATACTGAATAAAAATTTGTTAAAATATGTCAAACTAAAAAACTCAAACGATAAATCTATATTTTCACTGAACTGAAATTGTAATAATTTCAGTATTTTAGATTTCTTTCTTCTTCCATTGTTAGTTACTGAAACGGCGCCATCTGGTGGCCAAAAAGTGGAACTACAACATTTACAATCTAATTGATCCAGTTATACATTAATATGAGTATATTTAAACGTGTAAGTTATTTATCAATTCAACACGTTTTATTGAAGTTTAAGTTTAGGTGAATATTCATCTTTTTGCTGCTGCTAGAGGTAAACTTTACATCGACATTCTCCGCCAACGGAGCGTGTCTGAAATGAGATCCAACCCGTTCTCCCGCAGCTCAACCTGCTCTCCGACAACCAGCAGCAGGACGCGGCTCGGAGTCAAACACCCGCCCGCCGCTCGTTCATTCACCTCGGCCCAGCCGAGCATGAAGGCCGCCTAATGTTTAACCCGTCGCCCCCGTCCCGGAAACACGCCCCCTCGGTCACGGACGGCTGTGAGTTCGCTCCGGAGCCTCTCCACGTTAGCGACACGACGTGGCCGCCACCGGGCGCCAAGATGCGGATCTCCAAGGGCGCGGTGGTCGTGAGAGGCGTCCGCCGGCAGCCGAGTGCGGGCAGCCTGGAGAGCCTGGAGGCCGTCTGGGGCCAGAGGGAGCAACCCGATGTGGCCCCTCGTAGCCCCGGGGCGAGAGAAGCTGCCAGAAACGGGATAGAAGGACACGGAGGAGCTCCGCCYCGGGCCAGGAAGAGCAGGTTCCGAGCCCCCGACGTCAGGACCATCTTCTCCCCCGGAGAGAAGGACCCCAGGGTGAAGGAGGAGTCCGGGGAGGGACACACCTTCCAGGTCGTAGGCGAGAGCGCTTGGTGCGACTTCTGCTGCCAGTACATCTTTCAGGATGTTCTCACCTGTTCAGGTAAGAAGTCCAAAACGGAAGCAGTTTGTAGGTCGGTTTCTAAAGTTGGGGTCCGGGCTCCCATTGTGGGTCACAAAACACAAAGTCAGTGTCACCAGATGAAAACCTGCTGGTCACCACTAAAAAACTGTGGAGGCACCACTGTGGAATAAAAAAACAAAACAAAATTCCTGCTTGTGTATTTCTGCTTCACTTTTTTTAAAAGATAAAAATAATAGTGATAAAAAAAGAAACAYAATAAGCTGTTTGTGATGTCATTAAGTTGATATTTACTGTTTAAATCATTCAAACATGTTTGTAAGTTTCAGCCCTTCTTATTTAGTTTGAGAAACTGCTTCAGGTGACAGATTTCAGACATTTTACTTATGCTGTTGTACATAGGTTATTTAGTAAAATTTTCAATTAGCTTCTCCTCTCTTAACATAAAAAAATGCCATTTATTCACTCTTGGTTTGGTTAGAGTGCAGATTTTATTTACAAGATAAAAATATGTTTGACTCTATTTAGTATTACGTGTTTAATCTTCTCCTGTCAGCAGCGATGTCATCAATAACTCTGTCGTCATAAGATGTTGTTAGTCAACCACATGATAAAATACCTTCTGAGCTGATATTCAAAAATATTTCAAATGTTTCTTTTGACGTTAAAAAGAAGACAAATGGGTTAGGGTGGGGCTTTTAACTGAATCACTCAGGTCACAATTATTCAGCAAACTTAATGTATTGAAAATGTAGTTTTGTTTTAAATGAACTCATCGCTGGGCCGGACYGAGCTCACACACGAGCTGGATGTGGTCCCCGAACCACAAATCTGAGACAATTTTGTGTATATAAAAGGGGACGACACGTAAACTAATAAAAGACAGACAAGACAAAAAGAGCAAGTGCGTTAAATAGTATCAATTATATAATTTTTTAAGGTTTATTCAATGACTAAAATCCTTTAAAAGGTTACAAAGTTAAGTCGATGACATAACAGGCCTCTAAAAGCCTCATGTTTRAATGTTAGTAACATTAACAGGCAGGGCCCTAAAATATTTAACTACAGGAATGTGAACAGTGTTGATGAACGAGTTTAGGTTGAAAACAAAACAACCCTGACCGACTCCTAGAGTACAAACTCTGGACTYCCCACTGATATCTGACAAACAATAGAGGGAGGAAGTTCAGAAACAAAGTTCTTCTTCTTCCTATAATGTATTTCAACATTTTAAAGTATCACTTTTGTCACAAAGGGTACATCTATCTATCTATCTATCTATCTATCTATCTATCTATCTATCTATCTATCTATCTATCTATCTATCTATCTATCTATCTATCTATCTATCTATCTATCTATCTATCTATCTAGTTGAATGTCTAATCAATCATATACTGTATTATCCTATAAACAAAACAATGTTTCAGACAACTAAAACACAACATTAAAAGACATTAAATGAAACAAGATGCTTTTTGTTATATATAGTTGGATTTGTTTGACAAGTTCACTCTGTTGTAGCAACATTAGCACTGAAGGTTTGATGCGACTTCGCTTTAGCCTAAATGTTTTGCAGCTGCATTTCTGCTCACAATGCAGAGACAAACTGATTATTTGTTTATAAAGTTACTGTTAACTCTATTATAATTTTCACAAAGAAAATGTATGTCTTTGGTATTAGAACCAGACATACAGCAGACGTAGTCTACATTAAACACCAGGACAGTGTCTCCCATCACAAACATTTCACAGTAGTTCAGTGCTGAAAGACTAAAAGCTAAAATGTGCTGTAAGTGCAGACCCACATGTACAAATTGATGACTGTTTATGTGCAAATGCCTTTTATTTTCCACCTTTGATACGCCCCCCCGACTTCTGCTTTAACATGTGCAGTACCACAAAACAGTCTGCCGTACAACCCCTGTTGGATAAAACTGGCATTGATCCCCTTTCTATCCACTATTAGAAGAAATAATTGACTCCCAGTAACACACAATTTTGGAGATGTTTCAGTCAAAGCTTTAGATCCTATCACAGCACCGAGTCGGCTCTACTGACATCCTTTTAGCCTTAGATTCCAGTGAATCTGTACTTCTTGTCTTACTAGACTTTCCATCAGCTTTTGACGCAACTGACCATGAGAGATCCTCCTTTCCAGACAGGAGCAATGGGTGGGGATCATAGGCTCCGCCCTCAAATGGTTCAGGTCTTACCTTGCTGATAGACACGTATTAACACCAGGGACTCCTCATCAGCATCTCTTCAGTGAGGGGTACCACAAGGCTCTATCCTGGGACCCCTTCTCTTTTCCCTATACCTGCTGCCACGAGGTGCTATTTTTCATTAACATAGAATACAATTTTATTTTAATGCTAATGGCTGTCAAATTTACCTTCCTCTGAAGCATTCTGATCCACTCGCCATCCAACCTCTCCTTGACTGCCTGGCTGACATCAGAAATTGGATGGCTTTAAACTTCTTTTATGAGAAGAAAATCAAAGTCATTTTGTTTTCACCTAATGATATCAACAGGCTGCATTAACCTTTTCTCTCTGGCTCAGTTTGAGAAACAGATTGTCACCAATCTAGAGGTAAAAATGGATCTTTACATGAAATTAAACAGTCATAACTCAATCGTTAAACCCTGCTTCTTTCAGTTTAATAAACTGTTCAAGTTGAAACCTATTTTGTCTAAAATAAATCTTGAGACAATGATTCATTTATTCGTATAATAACATCCAGGCTTGATAAACTTCTATTGCTTAGTTGCAACCGGTGCAGAACCAGGCGGCCTGATTTTTAACTGGCACAGATGAGTGTAAAAAGAGACCCAACTAGTTGTACGTACCACAGCTAAGCTGCTAATTCATGCCACCAGTTTAATATATTACAGAAAGGCTGCTTTGTTTTTTTTATTTTGAGCTTTCAGCCTTTATCTGTCGTAAAACATGTTGGGTTTTAATATCTTGGCAGCCTGTTGGAAAACTGAACCAAGGCAGGCTGCATTTATCGTGCAGAAAATACAGTTAGCAATGCTAACAGTGCTAATCTCAATAAACACCAAGAAAAACTCTGTTAATAAAGTTAGCATTATGTTGATTTTTGTGTTCRGTTTCCTAGATTAATCAAACGCATTGTGCACAGAACAAACAACTGCAAATAAATGAGGGAGACGGTTAGTTAACAGTCCAGAGAAATGTTAAATATACACAAATATTCTGTCAGTAAGTTATAGAGACTGTTCAGAAAACTGTAACCCATACTTTCATTGTCTGCTTTAAACCAATTCAATTACTATCCTATGAAAAACAAGTGAATAAAAGAAAAAAAAAAACAGATGTCTCCATCAGTTACTTGCTCACTTATTAACACAAGAATAATGACTTATAAACCTGCAAAAGCAGAAGTTTGGGTCAGTTGAAAATTAATTTCTCCAGCAGAGGGGATTCTGGGTAAATTAAATGTTTAGTTTTTTTTATAAAGTCTTGTGAAGATTATGAGCATATTACAGGGGTATGTGGAAAAAATTCCCAGGTTTGTAAAAAAAGAAATAAAAATAGGTCTTTAGGGTCCTATGATTTCCACAATATGGAAATTGCAGACAGAATCATGGAATTAGCACAACATGGAGTATAAAACATGGAATCTCACTGAATTTGCTCATTTCGGTGAGTTTCTGACATATTTTRGACGCTGCTGTTTTCTGCACTTGCCATTATCTGGTTTATTTATTTAATTACTTATTCACATTCAAGGCAACATTTTTTATCTTTATGTTTAATTTGAATTGAAAAAAATTTAATGTCTGAAAATTAAATGTTCTTGGGCAGTGGTTCCCAACCCTCGTCCTCAAGGACCCCTATCYGGCATGTTTTACTTGTTTCCCTATTCAGCAGATCTTCAGAAGGTTGTTAATCACTCATTCATTCAAACCAGGTGTGTCAAATCAGGGAAACATCTAAAAATCACTGCTTTAAATGTTGACCAACACCTGAAGAGCTTCTCTGAGCTTGATGAGACATTTTCAAAATATAATACTAAGTTTTTTATAATTGCCTCTGTAAGCCATTGATTATTTGCCATTTATTTGTAAATAATAAATCAGATTACATGTATTAGTGTATAAGTGTTGGACATGCTTATCCTTCAGATACAAAAAGTCAAAGAAAACTTTGTTCTATGTAAGAAACTTGGCATACCACACATTATTTTACCCATTTGGACACATAACTGACCTACTTTCTTTTGTACTTGGCTTGGCAAAAGGGAAACAGGAAGTGACATCAAAGGGGAACTCCTTTAAGATAAAGAACTCATTGGTCTTTGTTTATTGAAACATTATTGATTTGATTTGATTTATTGATTTAACAGAAAAAAGATTACTAAAAATCAAGCCTGACTCAGCATAATTGCTGTTTTACAGCAGGTTCCTGTTCTGCAGCACATAAAACACTCAGAAATACAGCATCACAATCACATCATTATACACCTTGGACACAAAGACAAACAAGCATACCAAATTTCAGGAAGGCAGCATTTGCAAAATAGGACGTCTAAATATGAGCACAACAAAAAGTGTCCAGCAGATGGCAGACAAGATTCTTCTTAAAGGTCTGTAGTTTTGAAATGGACTTTATGTTTTGAGGAATGTCATTCCATGCTTTAGTATAAACATAGAAGAAAGACCTCTGGCCGTAACAGTTTTTAAAAGTTGGTAATATCAGTTGTCCTTTTGTAACAGATCTAGTTGAATGACCACTTCCAGAATTTGATTTGGGCAGCAATGCACAGAGAGTTCCATAAYTGGCACCATGGAAGATCTGAAAATATAAATTAATACCACTATACAAAACATAATTCTGAAAATTCAAGGCATCAGACAATGAAAGAACTGTACAGTGATGAGTCCAACCAGGAAGTTTTTTATGAATTTTGTAGGCCCTGTTGTAGAGCCTAACAATGGGTTCTAAGATTATGATTTGAACTCTGACTCTTTTTTTTTTGTTTCTGTCTGACAT